TACTTGAGTTATCAATTTACACGAAAAAAATTTTGGCGGGTCCGTATGTGGGTACTACGCTTACCCAGAGGCTGGGTTTGAGCCCTCTAATACCCACTTGGGCGGGGACCATTCCCCCAAGATTTCAGCCTTCTGGCTTCTTAGATCCCCGAGTTATGGATTTGCGCGGAAAAAATTTTGGTAGGCCCGTATGCGGGTACCACGCTTACCCGGGGACTGCATTTGAGCTCGTTAGCACCTGCTTGGACGGGGAACATTCCCATAAAATTTCAGCTTTCTAGCATCTCAAAACCCCGAGTTATGAATTTGCGCGGGAGAAAATTTGGGGGGCCCGTACGCGGGTATCACGCTTACCCGGGGGCTGGATTTGAGCCCAGTAATAGGCGCTTGCCCAAGATTTCAGCCTTCTAGCTTCTTAGATCCTCGAGTTATGAACTGACCCCAAAAAAACTTTGGCGGGCCCGTACGCTGGTACCACGCGGGTTTTGGCGCCAATTTTGGGGATGGGGGCCCGTACGTGTATGTACATTATGTCTCCAAAGTTTCAGCGCTGTAGCTTTTGCCGGTCTCGAGATGAAAAATCAGTACAGACGAACACGCAGACACACAGACACGCAGACACGCAGGCGCACAGACACACAGACACACACACAGACAAACTCTCGTCAATATGTGCTTTCTGCATTGCATAGCTGCAAAAAACGCATAAAAATGCATCCAGGCTGGAAGCCGGTGACAATATGCGTTTTGTACTGCTGTTACACAGCACAAAACGCATAAAAACCCAGGCTGGAACGCACCGGGCGGCCCCGTGTGATCATGCGTTTTTGCACCGGACTTGAATTACTCAGGTCATTAACTGTATGAATGGCTGTTGCTTTACATCTGTCTTTTGCGGACACTAGCGTAAATCACCATAAATTTTGCAAAGTAAATTTACAATTTCCATTTAACAGTTGTTCCTTAAGAGTAATCTAGTTGTTCAGTGAGAAATTTTTTCGTAAAGACTTTTAAGCATCCGTATGTTAGAACA